TTAATTCCATCATATCAATCCATAAATATTAAATATATGACCACCGGCTATGTCAGAATTGTTTTTTTTTTTTGTAATTAAAACCAATCACAATGCCAACAATGTAGTTATGGATTTATAAAAGAAATAACAGAACTTCCATGTGTTTAATAATAGTTACTTACTTACTTATGTGGCCATAACAACCCGTTACCGAGTTTCGGCCTGACGCAGCATGTCTCCCCAGGCGCCTCTGCTGCGTGCGCGCCTTCTCCAGTCTCGTATATCAAGTCCAGTTAGTGCTCCCTCAACTTGATCACTCCACCGGAGACACGGTCTACCTCTACGTCTTCTTCCGCCAACTACTGCTTCAAACACCTTTTTCGCCGGAGCGTCTTCATCCATTCTCACGACATGACCAAGCCAGCGAAGCCGCTGGATGTTAATGCGCTGAATTATATCAATGTCGTGATAAAGCTCGTACAGCTCGTGGTTCATTCTAATGCGGTAGTCGTCGCCAACTCGTAGAGGACCAAAAATCTTACGAAGAACTTTTCTCTCGAACACTCCCAGTGCTGCTTCATCATTCTGTGATAACGTCCATGCTTCTGCGCCATACAGAAGCACAGGGAGGATGAGTGACCTATAGAGCGTAAGTTTTGTTTGTCGAGAGAGAGCTCTACATCCCAATTGCCTACTGAACCCATAGTAGCACCTATTAGCAATGGTGATTCTTCGTCTGATCTCCAGACTTACATCATTTGTATTCGTCACGGCGGTGCCAAGGTAGATGAAATCCTTGACAGATTCGAAAGTATAGTCGCCAGCCACTAGCCCGGTGTCCGAGCGATGCGAGATTAAATTAAGTAGGTTTATTTCGTAATTTATGTGAATTTAATTTAGTATAGCAATTCAGTAGTGTAACATTTTTGATATATGACTCAATTATTTTAATGAAAAAGACAATTTTTTATATTCTTCTCTGAAATGTTATATTAGCAAACTAAGTTTTGAACGAAATCGTACATGAATTGCTTAAATACTACCATTTCAGTTAAGGTTATAAGTTCATATATAAAATCTTTAGATACTTAATTGTATATTTTGTTATGTTGAACTGTTGTGATGTTATCTTATCTGGTGCTGTAAGCCTTGCATATTCGATTTAAGCGGCTCAAAGTAAACAGAGAATATCATAAAATAATAAAACTTAACATAACACCAATGAGAAATCCTAAAGTTGAAACTTGGCTTAATAATATGCAAATGAGCGTGACTCAACCAAACAATCTGCTACATTTAGTCAATATGACGCCACCAATCAAACTCCAGATTAACTAAAATCGAATAAATTAAAAATTAAAACCGAATTGAAGCACTTAAATAATTTTATGCATTTTTAATCGCTGTTAAAATGTTAAATACCAGCTTTAAATGCCATAGGATTAAAATGGCCCAATCAACGAGTTCAGATAAACAAACCATAAAATATCAAATTTTGCATGGTGCCGAAAATGAATGACACGCAACTTGCCACAGAGTGGCACATAAAGAAATGCGATGCTAAGCAAATTCAACTGCCTACAAATTGAAAAATCAAGTAAGAAAAGCTAATAAAAACACCCTGTATACATTGTTCGTTTACGAAACACACAACAATATAGCTCAATAGCTACTTGATGTACGGTATTATAGCTGTATTATTGGTATTATTGGTTACTGGGCGCCACTGATCAAACCAAATTGAAACGGAGACGATTAAAAGTGATAACTTGTTGACTATAAAATGCTCAAACCTTATAAAACCAACATTTAAATAACTTTATAACAAAATATGGTAAAGTAAAGAAATCCGAAATAAGAAGTAGAAAAACAAACTCAGCTTGGAGTCCCAGTTTAATTCATGAGTCATGCCCATGCGCTTCAAAAATTATTTTTACTCGTACCATTGATACCGAACTCGAACCATAAGTGATTGTGAAAAATGCATTGCTTAAAATAAACTAAAATTTATAGAATTTTAAGTTACAACTTAATTTGGCGCTGACACTTAATTAACACCCATTTTTAAAACTTTATGACTTATAATTACAAAAATGTCTCTTCGTATGGTTTTATGGCATATTTACCATCTTCCATCTTTCACCGGCCTACTCAACCGGCCTTAGTACACCAAACTAAGCTTTTCAGCTAGTTTGCATGTTATCTGCTTCAAAGTACGTCGGTATTATTTTTGCCTTTTTGCATAAAGATTCATAAGCGTAAATATTGTTTATCGATCATTAGTTACAGCGGGGGGCTGCACAATCTTCATCGATAGAGCAGTGCTATCGTAAAATATCGCGTGTTAAATTTCACAAGCGCGCACCTGCGCAAGTGCTGAGCAAGTGTTGAATCGTGTTTTATTGAAATTAATTGAAATTACAAGAGCTTAAATGTTTATTAATAATTTTTATTGGATTGCCTATCTGGGCTCAAGATGTAATAACTTCGAAAAATAAACAATATGAGTGTGAGAGGGAATGGAAAGAAATTGGCGCACTGTGAGAAAAATAGTTTCTTCTGCAATATTATTAGGTGTGATTGTCAGAGATATCGTAATCTTATATGAAATGATAGTATCGACTTATTTTAACATAAAAAATTATTCAAAATATATATATTTTAAATATATATATTATAATATATTAATTTATATATATAAATTATATAATATATATATATATATATGTATATATATTGGATTGAAAATATCTTAACATATCTAATACATTTTGTAAATACTTGGCCAACGTTTTTACAATAGAAAATAGCAATAGCCTTCATTTTGATTCCACAGATCCTCCGTTCCAACTAATATGCAATGAAATTCCCCACGTCTCTGAGTTAACAATTATTGAAATCATTAATTCTGAACTTAAACTAAAGAAATCGCCTGGATTTGGTATGATTACTACTAAAATATTGCGTCAGATATCTCTCAAATGTATCTTTAAGCTAACGTTATTTTTTAAATATTCTTGTTAAAATATAAGAAAACATGTTAACAACAGTTGTTGATTTTCTACATATGCCATATCCAGAAAATTGTTTAAAAAAAATTGTTTAATAAAGAAAAGTATAATAAAGGACTGTTGCTATTCTCATACTACCCAGCAAATCGACTATGATTCCTAACTATAACTTTCAAGTTTGTTGGCCTTTGTTAAATAAAAATTATTTCAAGTAAAGATTGTCAATATCATCATTACAGGAGCTAACGTAGAAAAATACTATTTAATCCTGTCAGGTTCACTAGATTCACATGATGAATGTGGAATCAATAATCAAGTATTGTTCAGTGCTCCCGTCAAAGTACAACGGGAACTTGGAAACTATATGTATGTTAGTTACAGATCTATTGATTTCTCATCTTATTGATTTCCTTATTCATCAAACTTTTAACATCAATAGTAATGAAACTTTATATTGCACAATTATTTTATTGGGGAGAGTAAAGTTAGATATTCGATTATCTTTACATATGTGTTTAAAGATGAATAGCATCTTCATCTATAGTGTAATATTTCTTTTTATATTTATTTTTATTCACTCAGATAATCAGACGATTTGTTTTAACTGAGAAAAATAATCATCAAAAGCGAATTTTTAATGCAAATCTGCTGTAGTTTACTTCAACAAGTACCAATAAACTGGCTAACTTGATATATTCATGCATACACACTTTTAAGTCCATAGAACAAAAATTAAAAAATATTTTAATGTAAATATATTTTTTTATTCTGTCTTATCCTGTATTTAGTAATATTACTAATATTTTTTACTGTTTGGCGTTAAAAACCACTCATTAGTACCCATCAAGTTTTCTAAGTGCACCAAATTTTTTTTAATAAGTAAATCTTCATTAAATTTAGAGTTGAATTTATTTTTGAAAAACTGATTGATT